AATGACCAGACCTTACTGCCATTTTGTAGGGAGCTCGAGACAAAGTTTCTTCTCTCCCCAGTGCAACTCTATATAAGGTTTGGGGCAAGATTTCCTGTGAATCACCAGCAACTTTTTATTTATTTATTTACAGCTCCCACTTCTGTCCACTCCACAATCCTGATAGCCTCAAAGTTGAGGGGGAGACAGTGCATCTTACCAGTGACCTGCTGAGCTTGCTTCTGATTTAACTTTCTTCTCTCTGCATATTTGACAGGGAGGAGGAATACCTATGTCCCAATGTAATTAACAAGCAGTAAATCCCAAAGTATCCACATCCTGGATTTGAAGACAAATATTGCAACTATGTACTTTGGTATAACATAGTGCTGCCACTGACCATGGATTTACTCCTTCCATGCATGTTGAGAGACATATTTCCATTACTTACTATGTAAGAATGCTTGATATTTGGGCTCAGCAATTTGCAAGATTGCAAAAACAACAAATTTTGAAGCAGTAAATACAACAGTAGCAGAATGAATAAACACTATAAGCAATGTTCTGTGCTGTGCAACAACCCAGTCTTGCCTCTGCGTCTTAGGCATACGTTTAGAGACCAACATTTTAGAAAGAGGCTAGTGATCTTGGGACCTTGAGGCCCAACCTGAGAAGTTGCAGAAGTGTCAGCTTTCCAGTGGGTAGGTGTTCAGTACCTTCTGACATACCATATGCCCTTGAAAGGTATTTCAGCTTCCCATCCAAAATTGAGGCATCCAAAAACCATTAAACATACTTTAAATTCTTGACTTTTCATTTTATGAATTTCAATGGACCAGTTTTAACACTAAAGTCAATGGACTTGTGCCTGCTTATTTTACCCATGATTCTGACCTAATATAGCCTGTAGTTCTTTAAAATAATGTGGTTCAAGTTGGTAATGTCATGACTGAAAGCAGCTCAGAAACTTTTATATGCTTAGCCACAGCTCAGAAGAGAAGTTTAAGTGGTAACTTGATAGCAGCACCACTGTGTGTGGGAAGACATTGTTGACAGAGAGCTTTTTAATTTGGTAGACAAAGGCAAATCAAGTTCTAATGGAGAGATCAGAAATCATGGGTACATATTTTAAGCAGTAAGAGTAGTAACCACTGGAACAACTGACTTCGGAACATAGAACATTTGCCATTACTTGATCAAAATTGGACATCTTTCAGAAAGATATGCTTTAGCTCGCCCATCAGTTATGGGTTTGATGGAGACATCGCAAGTTAAAATTCTATGACTGGGGTTGTGAAGTAATTGGCCTAGATGACCCTAGACCCTTTCTGGCTTAAAAAAAAAAAATCTATGAACAATCTTGATTACTTGACTGCTAAAATATTTTCAAGTGAAATATTTTCTTAGATTTTATTTCAGAAAATAAAATTTCTCATAACTGGGGGGAAAAACCCCAAATGTGAATCAAAATAATTATAATCTCTTAATAATTTTATAAGATTTTTACAAAGAAAGAAAATGTGATAAAAATCTTATCACAACACTTTGTAGAAATAAAGTGTTCTACAATAGCAAAAATTATTATCGTACCACTATCATATAAAATGTAGATTTTTTTGCTACTACCTGCAGAATATTCAGGTAATTTTTAACATGTATGAGGAAGAGATTTGAGTGTTTATTCTAATTATGTAGATTACAATTATTTGTCCAATTTTCAACTTCTGCTCAGATTCATTTTTATCTTTAAAAAAATGACAGAATTAGCTAGATCTTCCTAGTCAAAATATAGTCAGTGGTAAATAGCTTTTAAAAGATGCAATAGATTGCACATTCTCAGACCCCTGTACATTGGGCTGTATAGCAAAAATTAAAGGATTTTAAAAATATAGGATTTTACCAAAAACCATTTTTACAATGCCAAGGCTGAGCAGTATTACAACTTCAATATCATTAAAAAGTCTCCTGCATGAAACAAACACGTGAATTGTAATTTTCAGATCAAATAACCTGTAAGCTATGAAAATAATTTATCATATAGTAGTATCTACAAAGGGTCTTTCCTGTATGTTCAAAGGAAGCCTTCCTTTCACCTCATTTTGAACTCAGAGACATCTTCCACAAGTTTTGGGGGGGGGTTTTGCGGGGGGGAGGGAGGAGGGGAGGTTGGAGGGGGTTGAGTTTTTTTAATTATGTAACCCATCAAATCTTATTCATAAGAGGAAAGTGATTGTGGTCTGTGGAAGTGTAGCACAGAAGCCTGTTCTTTCAGCTTTACGCAGTTTGCTTTCCTGGACAGGAAATTAAATAAAGGAGAAGGAAGGGTATACAGACAAAATAAGCACAGACTAATTTTCCCTTAACAGTGTTTGTATAAGAATGATTTTCTTTTTCTTTAAAGAACAATTTTCACACCAGTGCAAAGCTGAGGAAAAGAACATTCATACTACAGACAATTCATGCAACTAGTAATTTTCTCCATTCTACATGCAACCATTCAAATATTTGTTTTGGAATAAAAGCTCTCTCCTTCATACAGACCAGTTTTCCCCTACTGGACTCTGCAGTAAAAGTTCTAATCCTTCTGTTTATGCATTCACAGTCTGTTTATGTGAGAAGGACAGTACTATCATAAATTTGTCATTGGTAATGATGATTTCACTGTAAGGAAGGGTCAGAAAAGGTGATGGGGAAATCAACACATTTGTCTTTGATAAAGAGCAATAGAATGGCAATGTGATGGACTGATTCAGCAGAAACAAAAATAAGAAAAGTCAAGTTCAAATAAGACTCTTTTTTAAAGAACAAAGTTTATACCCAAGGAAAAAAGATGGCAAAACAGTAAACTGCCCTCATTTAGTTTTCAGTGGAGGTTTCTGCATCTGTTAGCAAGGCTGTCCTCTCCTCTGTGTGTGCAAGCACTTACAATCCTTCTTCTGAACACATACACAGGTGGAGAAAGCAGTTGAGCTTCTCTTTACCTTTTGTTCATTGTATTGACCCTACATCATGTTACAGGAGCAATCAAATGCTGGAAAATTGTATCCAAAAGGTCCAGAGAATCTTCCACTTTGGATCACCTCTGAAAGTCTAACAGCAGCACAGTGAAGGTTGGTGCAAACACACTTTCTACTAAAGTAGGACAAGTCTGAAATCAATCCTCTACAAGTAAAATCAAGCTCTTCCAATTTTAGGGAAGACCAGCAAATGCATTTGAAACAGCACACACAAGATAGCTGGAACCAGATCACTGCTGCGTAAACACTCTGCACTGCTTTGTAAACAGACAGAAATGTCAAGTCAGTTTGTTGTAAACAGAGCAAAAACACGCACAAAACAAAGGCAGAATCTTCCTTACAAAAGGCTTTTTTTGATGTTTAGCAGGGTTGCATTTTTAGCTCACAGACTTGCAATTATCTGTCAATGCAGTTGGATTGCATAAACCAGAAAACACGTTGCAAAAGTTGACCACGGGCTTGTCTCCTAATTTGGTGCCATCATTTATGAGATTGATGGCAAAGAACAAGGGTGGAAACAGATGCCACCTTTGTGCTGCCATAAATATGTTTATAGAGGCACAAAGTCCAAGCAAACAGACACCTATACCTTTTGTTGCACCGCAAATCCCCAAAATTTGTGGCCAGAGCATAGGTAGTATGATGCCATTTTTTGGCCAACATGGGATGACATTTTTTGGCTTTAAGGTGGGAAAGCATGGGCAGGTCAAGCTATGTGCTCTCTCTAGCTGCCCTGGGCAGGCAT